CAGGAGGTCGATTCCATTCTACCGCCGCCCGGAGGAGGGGGGGGACCCGGCTACACCTCCAGCTTGCTTAACTCTGCTGACTTGCCTTCTGCAGGAGTCGCGGCGCAGGAGGCGGCGGGCTCGCGACGCACGTCCATGAACCCGGGCGGCGGCGGGATGCTGCCCGACGCATCGCTGGCGCAGATGACCCGCGGCGACTCGCTCATGCGCGGGAACACGCCCATGCGGCAGAGCGCCCGCGGCGGCTCCAAGCCCCCGGCGGCGCCCGACTTCAGCTCCATCCCCAGCGCCACCCTCAACGACCGCTTCAGCCACTACAACAGACCGCCGTCGCGCCCGCCATCGCGCGACCGCTCCGTGGACCGCTTCGCGTCGCGCGGCCAGACGCCCGTGCCGCCCGAGCTGATCAACCCGCGGTCGCGCGCGCCGTCCGCGCAGCGCTCGACTGCGCAGGACTGGACGCCGGACTCGGGCGTGTACGACGACGAGGCGGCGGCGCCCGCGGGCGGCTCCCGACGGCCGTCACGCCCCGCCTCCATCATCTCGGGAGAGGCGCCGGCGCTCACCGGCAACGGCTCGGTGGGCGGCGGCTTCCCCGTGCCCTACACCATCCCCTCGAGCCCGCAGGAGGCCGAGAGCCTTCTGCGCAAGCGTGCGTGCGGCCAGGAGATCCCGCCGTGCCCGCCCACGCCCGGCCAGGGCACCGTCAAGCGCACAGAGTCGCTCTACATCAACCCCATCGTGCGGCGTCAGGCGCAGGTTAAGGTAAGGCTCGTATCCCTATGGCGGCGGCCGAGGCCCCGGAGGCCAAAGCTGCTCACGAATCCCCTGTGATAAATGACACACCCAGGCCCCGGCCTGCCTGCCTCCAAGGCCCCCACTAACGCCCTCCCTCCCTCCAGACGGCGCCGGCGCCCGCGTTGAAGCGCAAGAAGTCGCTGCCGGAGGTGCCGGGGCTGCCCGTGAACATCATGTCGCGCGAGGAGGCCGCGGTGCTCAGCTCCGCCCAGAGGCACGAGTTCCGCCGCCAGGCCGAGGAGGCCGAGCTGTACCGCGCCAACCCGCTCCTCTACCTCACCAGTCCTGCCGTTCAGGTGAGCCTCGGGCCGTGAGGTTCAGGGCCTCGTGTTCAGGAGACCCGTCCAGATCCTGAGGTTCAAGTGAGCCGTAGGTTCAAGCGAGTTCTCCAGGTTCTTAGAGTCAGGTGGGCCTCGCAGATCCTTCAGTTCAGAAGGGTCTCCGGGGCCCTTCCCTTCGGGTGAGCCTTCAGGCCGCCAACTTCATCTGAGCCTTCCATGTTTCGCTGGTCAGTCACGGGAAAAGCAGTTTTAGAATGGAAGAATAAAACAGCGAAAAGATTTCAGGAAATACAAAAAAAAAAAAAAAAAAAAAAAATCCTCTTCTTCAAACTTCTTTCAGGAATTTTATCATTAGTTCTTCCCAAGCCTGAAGTCCCTTTTGGGCCATTATTATCTTTACATTAACCATTTCTGAACTGCTACAGAACGTTCTGAACCGAATTTAAAGGATCAAAAAGAATAACTTTCTGATACTTCCATGGTCTTTGTACTTTGCAGTCTCCTTGAGAATATATTTTTGAAATTTTATATTAATACCTTGAATGTTCTAACACAGTTAATTTCCCGTTTTTTTAGCTCCTTAGATTCAACTCTCATTATACGAGTATATACTAGTCTAAGAGTAAAGGAAGTTTTTCTTTTTGCCTCGTCTTTTATTCAGCGTGAGAGAGAGAGAGAGAGAGAGAGAGAGAGAGAGAGAGAGAGAGAGATCGTGTCTTTAAGTGTGTGTATATATCTGTGAGTGTGTGTGTTCCTTGAGTTTGTGTGTGAGTACGTGTTTGTTTGTGTGTGTGTGTGTGTGTGTGTGTGTGTGTGTGTGTGTGTGTGTGTGTGTGTGTGTGTGTGTGCGTGTGTGTGTGTGTGTGTGTGTGTGTGTGTGTGTGTGTGTGTGTGTGTGCGCATATCTGTAAGTTTGTGTGTGTGTCCGCGTGCGCCCTCCGCCGGCCGCCCTGACCGCCCTCTCTCCCGCAGGACTGGTTTTCCCGGCAGCGGCTGGTTATGCTCATCCTCTTCCTCAATCTGTCGCTGGCCTTGATGTTCTTCAAGCTCCTCTCGTAGCAGCCAGCGAGGTCGCGGGTTCTCGAGGCTGCCGCCCTCGCCGCCGCCGCCGCCGCCGCCGCCACGTGAGAGCCTCGCTTGCCGCAGCCCCACTCTCAGGGAGTGCCAGAAGCAGCAACAGCAGCAGTACCACCAGCAGCCCTAGGCGTCCCTGCGTGTCGGCCGCCGCCCGTGCCTTCCTCAGCAGACCACGCCTGCTCCTCGCCTGCTCACGTGTGCTGTCAGAATCTTTATTTTGTTATGGTTCGTGACGCGTTCTGCCGCCCATGTGTGAGCCGTCCCTTTTTGTACCGCCGCCGCTGCCGCCGCCGCCACCGCCGCCGCCGCCGCCGCCGCCGCTGCCGCCGCCGTAGCTGATGTCCTCAGTGGGCGGCGTAGGAGCTCACGTCGCGCCACGGCCCGACTGCCCTTGCCCTGCGCGGCCCGGGGGCTGGGGAGGGGAGGGGGAAGGCGAAAGGAGAGGAGGAGAAGGAGAAGAAGGGAAGAGAAAGAAAGAAAAACCCAAGAGTGAGAAGAGAAAACAAGAATCGGAAGAAAACGAAGAAGCCGGCCCTTCGAATCCACGGAAGAAGAAGAAGAAGAAGAAGAAGTAGAAGAAGAAGGAGGAGGATCGAGTGAGTTTTGATAAAAACAAGGATTTGGAATAAGTTAATAGAGAGAGAGAGAAAAAAAAAAGAGAGAAAAGAATAAAGATAATGCGTACATATTCTGAAACGGTGACTGAATGAGCTCTTTGTCCCTTGTGGAGTGTTTTGGCTGTGCCTCATTTCCCGTGTCACGTGACCGCAGACTCACACAGCCGGGGCGAAACCTGTAAATTGCTTCTCGTTTACTACTTAACCCATTGACGCGGTCTCCACAGGCCCGGGCGGTTCGCGAACTGAAAGAAAAAAAAAATAATGAAAAAGAAGAAAGATTTAAAAAGAAATCAAGGAAAAGAAAAAAAAGATATAATATATAAGCCCCGGTTTACACTCGCTAATCTTGCATAATAGGCACTAGTTTTTTTTTTCTTTTTTTTTCATATCCACCTAATGTACTCTTTGTGAAGTTTAGTACGGCATTGTATTCTTTGTAATTTCTAGTACTGGTTGAATGGTTTTTGTTGTTTTTTTTCCAAGAAGAAGAGTAAGAGTGTATTACTATTACGATTTTACTGGTTGCCTCTCGTGCGTCAGAGGTCATATTGACTTTTGCGCCGAGGGAATATTTGTACAGTGAAAGAACCATTTGTACTTAAAAAAAATAGAAGAAAAATATGAGTCTCCCATCTGCTGTCTTTTTTTTTTTAACGGAAGGGAGACCATAAAGACTCACATGCAAGAGGAGGGGTATTATGAGTATGTTATTCTTGTGTTTTCTCTCTCTTTTTTTTGTATATGAAAAAAAGAATAAGTTTCAGTGTTTGGCTTATGAGGAGAAAGCGGGACGTGGGAATGGATTTTTCTCGTGTACCCCGTTTTCTGTTTATTATTGTCATCTATTTTTTTTTTGCCTTTTGATTAGCTCAAATTTATAATTTCATTGTCACTGATGATGCTGATGTGCATAGTGTATGAATTCTCTCTTTTGTATAATATTTTTTTTTTTGTCTTTTAATCTTGTTTCTTTTTGTAACAATAGTAATGCGTATTATGCCGTTACCCCTGGGACGCTCCTGGTGGCACTCAGCTGGCACTTGCCAGCACTTGCCCTCATTTGCCAACACTTGCCAGCGCTCCACCAGCAGCCTCCCATGCCGGCATGACCAAGACTGTTGTATTATAATCACATGCAAAAGAAGAACACTTTTTTGTGGTCTTGACACGTGCTAGAAAGCTAAACTGCTTAGTCAGACACCATGGTTTTAGTTTTCCATAGGAAACTCTTTAGTAATTCCTTTTTATTTATTTATTTATTCATCCATTTATTTTTATTCATTTTGGCTAATTTTTTTGTAGTTTTAGTTGAGAAGTGTTGATAAGAAGAAGGATAACGTTGAAGCCTGGGCCGCGTCCCCGCAGGAGGAGGCGCTCGGCCCTGTGGTTGTGTTGCAGTTTTACTTGTGATGTGTTCCTGCCACTCTGCACTTGCCGGTGCGTTCAACTAAATCTTTGACACACACAACTTTGCATTTCTTTTATACTTTTTTGCTAGAACACAGACAGCGTTTGATCGCCTGCCACCACAGGGGCCAGCCTAGCAACCTCGGGGAAGCGGGCCCTCAGCCTCCCGCCGGGGAGCACCTTCAGCCAGACCCGCGTCTGCCTCTGTTATTCTTAGTGTTACGATTACTCTTATGCCCGCCCTCCCTTCCCCGTTGTTCAAGGGCCGCGTGTGAACCCTGACTCACATTGGCGAATCCTACCAGGTCGCGCTACGACTCGGGCCGAACACCCCTCCGGCTGCAGGTGCTTCCAGGTCGCAGTCCAGGCAGGTCCTTGCGCCGTTCCAGCCGCTGTTAGTTTGTGAGATTCACTGGCGAAGAAAGACGAAACGGAAAATAAAACGGAGACCATTCCTCTGCCGGCGAAAGTTCCTCATGAGACGATGACGAGTGCCTTCCTGCGTGAGGATGAGGGCTTTCCCGGTTCTGGAGGGACAGGATCGAGCCTTTATATGACTAGTTGTTCATTCATTCGTATTTGTTGCGAGGCGCATTCTTCACGACGCTGGAGACGGCCGTTCTTTTTCGAAGGTCATGGCCCTTCCTCCTGCTCGGAAAGAACACCCGGCATTAGCGTGTCCTCTCCCCTCTTCCGGGTCGCGTTCCGGCGAAGGGGAACACGACGCTGATCTAGTGCCCGGCGTTCCTTCCTGTGTCTTGGCACGGACCCTTCCTCCTTCCTTATCTCTTAGACACGCGACTCCTCGTCCTCCTCGTCCTCCTGCTGGGCGCCCGAGGGAAGGTCCGCAGTAGCAGGACGAGCAGAGAGAGAGCGCTGATTCCCTCGAACTTTAAAAAAAAAGAAAAGAAAAAGAAAATTCAAGCAAGAAAAACAGCTGACTGTGACTCGTGCGTGTGTGGGTGCGATGTCGATGTATGTTGTCTTTGTCGAGCGGCGCGTGGCAGTTGCTGCGGAGCATCACTTCGGACCTTATTTTAGAACTATCTCGAGCAAACCAGCCTTTTTGTCTCGGTCCTCTAGCTGACAGCCGCTCTCCCCCCCACCCCCACCCCCACCCCCTCTTCTCGCCTCGTCCTCCGGTCTCGCGAAAGTTGTTTTTTTTCCATCTTCCTTCGAGAACTGGAGGACACAGAAGGAGAAAGAGTGGGGATAGGGGGTTGGGGGAGGGGGCAGAGGTGACATCTAGTGGTCGAGAATCGAACCAGACATACCTTACAGTTCTCGCCGTCTCTCGAACCTCACGTAAGAGGGGGGGGTTGCGATTGGGGGAGGGGGAGAAAGAGGAATTCAGAACAAGAAAAGAGGAAAGGAAAATAAATCTTTTATTTATTATTTATTTTTTTTTTTACTTTGGGAGACATAAGAAAATGTAAAAAAAAAAGTAAAAATTAAAATTTATAAATGGGGAGGTTAATTCGGACTTTAATTTCGAGTTATTTACTAATTTGCATTGTCTCCGAATGAATAATAATATAATATAAAATGCTGTAATTGAAGGAAAGAAAAAAACAAAATAAAATACCAATAACCTCCATCGTCAAAATCAATATCAACTTTAATGACAGAAAATTAGATTTTTTTTTTTTTTTTTTTTTTTTTTGCCTCCCCATTATCAAAAATCGCAAAATATTCAACTTACGAAAGAGAGAGAGAGAGAGAGGAAGAGAAAAAACAAATGGAAAGAGAGAAAGGAAAGAACGACCTTCACCCCCCTCCCCCCCACCCCCATCCTCAGAAGAGAAAACCGCAAAACAAAAGAAAAACGAAATTAAACAAAATGAAGAAGAAAACGGAATCGCGCACTTCAAAATTTTATTATTATATTTAGTTTATTTATTCATTTATTTACTTATTTATTTATCTATTCATTTGTTAATTTATTTTGACGAGGTGTTGACCGGAAGCGATTATGATAATATATGTTACTTTTAAAATTTTAGTTTCATTATTATTATTATTATTATTATTATTATTATCATAATTATTACTGCTATTCATTTCGTTGTTTATTATCATTGTCGTTATTATTGTTGTTGTCAGTTGTATTATTTTCATGCTTGTTGTTATTATCATCATAATCACTCTTTTCATTATCATTATTTTTATTACCCTTATTATTTTGAGAGGGGGGGGGAGGTCAGATTTATTCTCTTGAACCACAATTGCATCAATTCATCTGTCTATTTTCACTATTCCTTTTTTATCTTGTTTTTGTTTTCTCTATCTCTGTCTTTCCCTCTTTCTTAATTACTTTGTTTCTCTCTGTTTATATATTTTTTTTCTATCTTGATCTTTCACAGTTTTCTCTCTCTCTCTCTCTCTCTCTCTCTCTCTCTCTCTCTCTCTCTCTCTCTCTCTCTCTCTCTCTCTCTCTCTCTCTCTCTCTCTCTCTCTGCATCACGCCCCCCCTCTTTTTCAATATCGTCTATAATTTGCTTCGCCTTCACTACAGCCACCATTTAAAGGCAAATTCTGAAACGCACAAAAAGCGCACAAATATTACTTAACTTAACTTAACTTAACGGACACAAGAACACACAAACGAACGCACAGTCTTCAAACATTTTAAGATGCACACGCCCCGCCCCCTCACACACACACATACATACACACATACATGCTCTCACACGCGCACACTAAACTGAAAGTGGGAAAGATTTTGAACACTTTTTTTTTTTTCTTTGCCTCCCCATTATCAAAAATCGCAAAATATTCAACTTACGAAAGAGAGAGAGAGAGAGAGAGAGAGAGAGAGAGAGAGAGAGAGGAAGAGAAAAAACAAATGGAAAGAGAGAAAAGAAAGAACGACCTTCACCCCCCTCCCCCCCACCCCCATCCTCAGAAGAGAAAACCGCAAAACAAAAGAAAAACGAAATTAAACAAAATGAAGAAGAAAACGGAATCGCGCACTTCAAAATTTTATTATTATATTTAGTTTATTTATTCATTTATTTACTTATTTATTTATCTATTCATTTGTTAATTTATTTTGACGAGGTGTTGACCGGAAGCGATTATGATAATATATGTTACTTTTAAAATTTTAGTTTCATTATTATTATTATTATCATAATTATTACTGCTATTCATTTCGTTGTTTATTATCATTGTCGTTATTATTGTTGTTGTCAGTTGTATTATTTTCATGCTTGTTGTTATTATCATCATAATCACTCTTTTCATTATCATTATTTTTATTACCCTTATTATTTTGAGAGGGGGGGGGAGGTCAGATTTATTCTCTTGAACCACAATTGCATCAATTCATCTGTCTATTTTAACTATTCCTTTTTTATCTTGTTTTTGTTTTCTCTATCTCTGTCTTTCCCTCTTTCATAGTTACTTTGTTTCTCTCTGTTTATATATTTTTTTTCTATCTTGATCTTTCACAGTTTTCTCTCTCTCTCTCTCTGCATCACGCCCCCCCTCTTTTTCAATATCGTCTATAATTTGCTTCGCCTTCACTACAGCCACCATTTAAAGGCAAATTCTGAAACGCACAAAAAGCGCACAAATATTACTTAACTTAACTTAACGGACACAAGAACACACAAACGAACGCACAGTCTTCAAACATTTTAAGATGCACACGCCCCGCCCCCTCATACACACACATACATACACACATACATGCTCTCACACGCGCACACTAAACTGAAAGTGGGAAAGATTTTGAACACTTTTTTTTTTTCTTTCAAATTTTTGATGTGCATGTACTCGATGTCGCAACTAGAATTTTTATATAACCTGTCTCATTTTTTTATATATATATATATATCTATACATACATACATATATATACATATACATACATATGTATATATTGATTTTCTGTCGGTGAATATGATTTTCTGATGGTGATTATAAAATGACTACTGGTTCACACAAATTTCTTATTTACAAATTAGATTGAGTTATAGAGACTGAGTTATAGAGAATAGATTCAGATGCATATATATATATGGACTCACATGTATTTACAAAGTCCTTACCGACGTTCTATCAAAGCAAAACAACAACAACAACAACAATAACAATGAGGTGTTGTCTCCCTATCGTTATTCCTTAAATTTTTCTTTCAATTTTCAATTCTTCTCTCCCCTCCCCTCCCCCCCCCCTTTCCATCCTAGTTACCCTCACCCCCCGCCCTTCATTGCCAGAGACATCATTATCACCACAATAGTGACAGTCACCATTGCGCAGTCAGACAGTCACTTACGTCATTAGACAGTCAATCAGTCCGTCAGTCTTCTGTTTTTCCTTCCATTTTTGGCGCGACTTTTCCCCATTTTTAAATCTCACTTTTTTGAGTCATAACTTCCAAGCTTGGACACTTGTTAATAATAATAATAATTAATAATAATAATAATTAATAATAATAATAATAATATAAAAAATAATGTTTTTTCTACGTCGTTAGAGAGTTTATGGCATTTTTAAGCAAATCATTTATATCGATAGACAGTTGAATACATCGTTAGAAAGTTGATATCATCTTTAGACAGTTTGAATATATTCATTAGACAGATAATATGTATCATTAGACATAACTGTATCATTAACCAGAGGACCGCATCAATATATAGACTTTTAACTGCAACCTTAGACAGTTTAACACTTTCCTAGACGGTCGACTGTATCATTTAGACATAAATACTTCACCAGTTAAATATTCATATCCGTCTGCTATTACTATCACTAATTAGACAGAGAGGAAATTATTAATTAGAGAGTTAATTGTCTTTTCACACTTGTTCTATATACTCGTTAGAGTCAAATGCAGAAGCAAAGTGTTAGTTTAAAAAAAATATGTATAGTGAAAAAAATAAGAAATTTATAACGATTATACTAATAGTGGTGATAATAATAATAATAATAATAATAATAATAATAATAATAAATGAATGAATAATAATGATAATAGTAATGATAATAATGATAATAATCATGATAATAATACACCAAAAGTCACCACACTCGAGAGACATACACAAAAACTCCAGAAAATGGGACATTGTACATCACTTCACCACACACACACACACACACACACACACACACGCATTCACACACACACACACACACGTTCTCATCCCTTGCAGATTTTGAAAAAAAGAAAAAAAAATTGAAAAATAAGTGAAATTTTTAAAAATCTTTCACCATCACACCAACCGCCATTTTTTTTTCAGTGACGAGAGACGGTCTTTTTTTGGGGGGAAAAAAATCAAAATTCAATCGCAAGACAATCATTGGTGACGCAAGACATAATACCCATAAGAAAACAAATATATATATCCATTTATTGATGAAGAAGAAGAAAAAAAAAATGAAATTAAAAAAGAAAAGAGAGATAAGAGAAAAAAAAGAAAAAAAAAAGAAAAAGCGATTTTTTTTTCTTCCAAAGAAATTGATTTAACTTACTGACTCCCTTTTTTTTAAAAGACAATATGCTAACTTTCTTCGTTGAACCTTCATGATCTGAAACTCTGTTATGTACATTTTTTTTTTTAAGGTTGGCTGCTCCTGGGGAAGTATAAGGTCAGAGTGCCACCTATAATCCTGTTCGGAGAGCTGATATGAACCTTTATTCTGTAGGATCAGATTCTCTCTAAAGGGCAGTGGAGGCTGTGTGTGTGAACTTGTTGATACAAAGTTGTTCCTTACAATAAAGCCAAAACACGAGTATATTTTAATTTCATCCTCGATGTCGCGAAGAAGGGAATAGCGGAAGAGAAAGAAAGAGAAAGAGAGAGAGGAAGAGAAAGCTGAAAGATTTTAAAAAAGCAATTAAACATTTTTTAATAGAAAATAGTAGCACACACACAGTATATGATGTAGAAAGGAAAGTCAATACAAGACAGATCCAAGGAAAAGGGATCATATATATATATAACAGAAAAGAAATAACAGAAGAAAAAGACAAAAATAAATAAACAGACAATTTTTTTTTTATCAATAGCATTAATAATTTTGAGGCAGCCAAAATCATCAACCTTCTTGATTTTAAAGATTGCGTAAAACACTTTATCGAAGGAACAAACTAAACATCATATCAATTTAATATCAAGTAAAATTACCTTGTTTATGTTCTACTCCTTAACGTCCTTTAGAGAAAAAAATAAAAAAAGTGTAGCGAAAGATGACAAATAATATAAATCTATAAGCTAAAATTTATGTTACAAAAACAAAACAATAACAACAAAATTTATCATGCGATTCAACGCCTTATAAAAAATAGCGTTTCATGATAGAAAAATAAACATTATTTAGAAGATAACATTTATTTCAAAATATTTACTATTTGTACAGTGTCAGTTATGTATGTGTAAATGCATAATTATATTTCAGTTCTTTTGACATATCTGTATAAGGATGAAAACATGATGAGGATATTATTTTTTAAATCCCTAATAACTGAGGGATACAAGCTTAAAAAGGAAGAAAATACAACGAGAACCTTATTCTAAAGATCCTTCCATGGTAAAGGAATACAGACTTGTAAGAAAAAGAAAAATCAAGAACTACACAGAGAATGAATATATGAATACACACATACACACACACACACACACACACACACACACATATATATATATAT